ATCATTCACTTTTTCTTTCTCAAAGATCTCATACATGTTTATAGTACAGCATTTTTGTCCTTAGAGAGAGAGAGCAAGGTCTGAACAATCAGTTAATATATGTTTAATAGTGTCTGTCGTTTCATATGCTTGGCATACTGACTGATCTTTGTTGTATAGCAAGTACGAGTAGGTTATTCTTGTGCAGCCAATGTGTAAGCGGGCAAGTACTAATTCTTCCTTTCCAGATGTTCTGAAAGCCAAGTTCTATTCTCCTAGTTTGGGCTGAATTGTGAAGAGCTTGTTCTGTAGGTTATCATCCAACCACTGTTGCCATTACTTTTGAGTGTATTTGTAAATGACCTCCTTAAAATCAGTGTCTACATCCATGTCTAAAGCTGATTTGGTTGCTAAGTTTCCTTTGATTGTTACCTTTTACTCTGATGTGGCTAGGAATCCAACATAGTTTGAGGTCTTTATGTTTGCAAGTAGTACTCATAATAGTTTAATAATGTGTGAGCTGTTGGATTTTTTCTCCTTCAAAGCCATTAGGACGGATAGTGAGTCCAAAAAACTTAAGAAATTTTTTTGTTACCTTTGTGTAATGATATTGAGAGCTAGCTCCATTGCATTAAGCCCCCGCAGTGAAAATAGTACTTCCCTTTGGAAGGTGCATTTTTGTAATATTTTGAGTTATAGCTGCACATCCTGTCTCGACCTCACACTTTGACCCATCTCTATAGCTGGTTGCATGGTTAGGGTAGTTTTCTAATATACCCTGAAACTTGTCCTGGAATGTGGGTAGGTGTTTTTTTTTTTTTTGTTTAGGGAGTTTATTTAATTCAAGCAAGACTTCAGAATTTCATCAGCAGGTTTATTAAAGGCCAAAAGGGTAAAACTAGAAAAAGAAATACACATATAAAATAATCTGATCTCTGGACCACCTGTCCTGGGTATGATAATAAAACTCCATCTGGCGCCAAGGCCTCTGATTGGAAGGTTTTGAGGAGCTCAATTAGGTCACATTTAAACAACACAAATATAACAGCATCATCTACATGCAAAAAAACGCTAAATATAATGGAACCCTTATTAATAAAAACAAAAAAACCAACACTCAATAATAGCAACATGGACACAATATCTTGACCATGTTTTGAAAATGGAAATATCATATTAATATATACATACAACAATCTATTTCTTGTTAACAGTTAATATATTTCAATCTTGAAAATGGTTAAATGTATAGCCGAAAGCGCTCAGATAAAAAAGAACAATCAGACATTTTTTTTAAATGAGTTTATTTAATTCTAACAAGATTTCGGGCTATTGATTGTCCATGGTGGAATACTGGCTTCAGTCATTTCTTGTATATTTGAGATTGTGGTCCCTAACTCTTCAGCAATGGATTTCATTCTGATTCCATAGGGTTGTATTGTATTTTCTTTTTGTTCGAATAGATGACAGTAATTAGGTTTAAAGTTAAGCTGGGTTAGTTGGACATGATTTTATTTTTAAATAGTACTGTAGTACCATTTTAGTGCACCTTAAATGTAAAGGGGTTTCATTAGTTTCTGTGTATTAGTGATCCACTAGGGATGTCCTAAAAGCCTTAAGTACTTGTCCGAGGCCTTGATGATAGGTTGCATTCTGTATTTTCAGGTATGATTTTCTGGCCTCCTTATATATGAAACTTGTGTAATCCAATTTTGAGTGAAGTAGTAATCTGTATAATTTAATTAATATTTGTCAATCTGCCCCCCCTTCAGTATGGGTTATAACACACAAGAAGTTGGTGGACTTTACTAAATTTTAGTTTTAAATATTTTAGATGGGAAATGAATATTAACTTTTTCCAAGATGATGTGTAGGAACTTGTGTTGTTCCACTACTGGAATTTCTGCTCCATCTAAATTTAAACAGTTGTCGATGTGTAATTTCTTTAATTTGCAGAAATCTAAGCATTCGTTCTTGCTTATTAGTATAAGTACAATTACAGCTAAGTTTAAATTTTAAATGTAGTTGGAGTTTGGTTAATTACAGAGTAGTCTCCTCTTATTTATTTAGTTACAAATAATGGTAACATAAATTCTATAAAAAAGAAGTTACTTGACATCAAATTTAACAGCCATCTTTTGTGGCATTCAGGCCTGTACTGCCACCCACAAAATTATGATATGGGATCCCCTACTCTACTACACCTCAATTTTCCTATTTTTCTGAAATTCTGCCATAACATTGTAAGTATTATTTTCACCAAGTAGCTAGGTGGGGCTTGTGTTGTCATGGTTCCTAGTAGAATCTTTTTTAATAGAAACTTCTTTTCATCTTATCACTTAGTGCCAAATTAGTTTCAGATCAAAGAGCAAAGTAGACAGTTGGTGAGGCACAGAAGACTAATGTTGGATTTAAACATTGTATAAAAAAAAAATAATTAATGGATTTAGACTCCAGAATGTCATCAAAATCTGGAAATTTCTCATCTTTTATTATTCAGTTGTGCTTAGTTTAATTTGTAATGATTATAAATGTAGGTAGAAAACATATTGACCAGATAGTGTGAGTCACAAATCATGGCCTCCAATCAGGCTTGAGGGTCTTTCTAGTCAGGTGCTAGGGTGTATTATGTGCTCACTCTGGAGTGAGTATTTTTTCTTTATTCTTGGGAAAAAGAGCAAGGATAGGGGAAAAAAATACTCACTCCAAAGTGGTAGATCGAAAAGAAAAAATTAAAAAAGACATCAGAAATAAAAAATAGTACAAACCAGTTATTGCTCTTCACTCTACAGAGCCAATTGAGGACAAAAAATATTGACATTTTTTCAATCAATTCTCCCTAAGCAAGATGATAATTTCACTAAGACACAAGGGGTTACTGGGAGTGAAAGAGAATGAGAAGACTTTAGAAGGAATCAAAAACTCAATCCTAAACAGAAAACAAAGGATAAACGTATGTAATAAAAAGGTGGAGTTAAAATGCTAACAGAGAATTAGCATTATAAATCACAGATTATATTGAGACCCACCAGCCATTCCTTTTGCTGGAAGAGGGAATGCTGTTTAGACTTTTGTTTTATTCTTGGGTAAATAATTTCATTCTTCAACATTATTCTTCAAATCTTGATCACAGCTTGACTTCCTGCAACAACACTCACCAGCCCAATGTTTGACAGTCGAATAGGAAGGGTAGTAATCATGCCAGATATTTGCTATACAATTACAGAGTTCTTGCTATGCAATCTGTTCCATAGTCAAAAATTCAATAACAGCATATTTCAATTTCTGATTTTTATTTTTATTGCTCATCATCAATTTCTGCAATTCTTTTATTGGTTTTGAAACAGAAATTACAATAAAATATTGAGAGGAATGAAAATTCTATCAAAATATGATATATATAAATCAATAAAATGATTCAGAATCCCTGTAAAAGCGAATATATTCATGTTTAAAACTTTTGGAATGCCTCTTGTAGGTGCATGTGCATGTATGTGTTTACACACACATATATAAAGAGGCAGAAAAAAGATAGATATGCATAACTAACAAAATATTTTTTGCCCAATTTTATGTTAATAGAAATAACTATTATATACGAGGTCTGATCAAAAAGTGTCCGAGCTGTTGCTATGTTAACGAAGGTTAAGTACACAGAGTGAAACCACTTGGCATAAATTGACCTTGAACTCTGTTGCGCATGGACACTAAGTTATAACGTTCTTGCTCACTTTCATTGTTTATAGCAGTACTTGGAAGGAAAGTGTGTAGAGTGTGCTCCTCTCATCACACCCCAGGGGTCCCATAAGTCACTATAGCATGTGCAGCAGTTTTGGGACAAGCACAACATTCCATATTCCCCTGACTTTTTCCTTTTCAAAACTCAAATCCCATTTGAAAGGAACAAGATTTCAAAACAATAAGAAAATCCAAGAGAATGCGATGGGGTAGCTACTCACTATCCCCCAAAAAGGAGTTTCATGAACGCTACCATCAATAGAAATGACACTGAGGAACATATGACTCATGTTGGTCAACCTGAAAACATTTACCCTGGTCATTTGACACCAAAACCAAAAGATGCTAAAAAAAAAAAAAAAAAAACTTGGGATGTTTTCATTGAACACAATATGGATCATAATATTTGCGTTATAGGATTCTTTGCAATAAGATCCGGATCTTCAACACCAATGTCAAGTCAGTCCTAGTTTACAACTCAGAAACCTGGCGGGTAACCAAGACCAACACCAACAAACTTCAGACATTAACCAACTGATGTCTCAGGAACATCCTCAATATCAGGAGGCCGGAAGTCGTCTCCAACGACCAACTATTGGACAGGACCAGACAAACCACAATCGAGATTGACATCAAGAAACGGAAATGGGCATGGATCGGACATACACTCCGCAAGCCTGTTTCTAGTGTCACCAGGTAGGCCCTTGAAGCCTGTTTCTAGTGTCACCAGGCAGGCCCTTGAAGCCTGTTTCTAGTGTCACCAGGCAGGCCCTTGAAGCCTGTTTCTAGTGTCACCAGGCAGGCCCTTGACTGGAATCCACAAGAGAAGCTGAAAGTGGGTCGACCAAAACAGACTTACCGCAGAAGTGTTGACGCAGAGATGAAGGCAGCCGGCACGACATGGGCCGAGCTGAAGAGGATCTCATGGAACCACGTCCGTTGAAGAGGTGTTGTTGCGGCTCTATGCACCCCCCTCCCAAAGGAATCAAGAGGCATAATATATAAGGAGCCGATTCTAGATCCGAAAATACCGTTTGCAAAGGTGGAATTAATACATTTCCCGGAAGACAAAATAGATCACAGTGTGCTTTTTAACATTGCATACAAATGGACTTCCTTTGTAGCATCATATTAAAGAAGGAAATATTTCAACTCTCACATAATTCCTATGGTGGTGTAGTGAGAACAGCAATTTCTGGCCCCGACGAAAAACTTGATTTCAGTCCGAAATTCAAACGCATCAAGAATACCCGTATAAAGCTTCATCAATTGCCGGAAGAGCTTACGGCCACATCGTTGAAAGATCGGTTCCCGTTCGATCACTGAAGTTAAGCAACGTCGAGCTTGTTCAGTGCTTCGATAGGTAACCGCTTCGGAATAGCAATGGATAATGGTTTCGAATTGTTAATCAGAGAGCCAAGTTCCAATTCCAGTCGGGTTCGTTATATTCAATTACGCGCAAATACCCTTGAGAAAGGTATGGATCCCCCTCTTCTTCTCCCGGTTATGGGTTAATTTGTTAGACTTGTATCACTAAAACCATTTCTATCTAAAAAAAATTATGATTGCTAAAAATTTTGTTTTACTTTATTATCAAATGTGTTTTGATAGCAAATGTAAGCCGTACATTTTGAATGCACCCCCCCGCCGTGTTTAGAAAAAAAATTCACAATTGTACGCGAGGTTCTACCAAAAACAGATTCGCAACATCGTGGAGAAACGTATCAATCATAGAGCCTGGAAGGCTCGTTCTGAAAACCTCTTTTCTTTTCTCTCTAGTGAAGATACAGAAAGACGATTGGCTGCAAAGAAATTCTTGAAATCCATGGCGATTCCGAAATAGGAGCGCGAAATATTAGTATTTTTCGTGTTCCTCAAGTCTAAAAAAATTACGGAAATTATTGATTGAACCTCAACATTTGAGCCAAATTTGATATGAAATTTAACGAAGAAACTAACTGAAAGTTATTGTTTTTTTTTTAAGCAAGCCATTTAATATAAACTTTATTCCTTGCCATTCTCAAAGTGTTGAGCAATTCGTAAAAGACGTTTGTTCTGTTTTTGTATCTGAGAGCCGGGAGAGTTTTATTTTTGTTCGTTGTCATGGTCGAAGATTCGTTCCAAAACTCAAAAAGAAATCAGATTTGAAAGCGATGATAAGAATTCACTTCTACGTTAAAACATTTCTGCATCATAATTTTTTTATATCCGTATTGTTAATCTGATTGACAAATATCTACGTTGTTTCTTTTCACACTAATGCGGAAATCCCCCTTGTACCTACGTTGTTTGTTATCTTCATCAACAACCTTCCAGATGGCATCTGTTCTGAAATAGGTATTCATGCTGGTGACAGCTATTTAATTCTGTCTTAGTAGCAAGTCCGACAGCTCCGACTGGCAGCTTCTTTGTAAAATGACCTCCAATCAGTGGTTAAGTAGGGATTGTACATTTTGACATCTCCAAAACAACATTACTTTCATTGAATTACCATAGAGAACCATTTCTGCCTTCCATCAGTATGGCGAATGCTAATCTCCAGAAGAGCAACTCATTGCACTTTCTTGGGCTGTCTTTTTCTACTGACATAGAGTGAACTGATTATATTGAAGCAATTGCTCAGTCTGTTGCTAGGAAAGTTGCTTCACTATGTCGTACCAGATATATTCTTTTTCGTCAGTATCGATTATGAACATTTATATATCTACTATTCTCTCATGCATTGAATACTGCTGGCATATCTGGTCTGGTGCTCCTGCTGTGCATCTCAAGATTCTCGACAAATTCCAAAGAAGAGTCTGTAATATTTTTGGTCATGACCTGGCATCCCACCGCCATGACGTGGCTTCCCTCTGTCTTTTCCATAAACATTGCAATTGTTCTGATGAGCTTTCCTTCCTTAGTGCTTCGACTGCATGAATTTAAGCGTACGACTACATTGGCAACTAGGTATCACCGTTTTACTGTTGAACTAGCTAGGTTCTCTTCTAAAAGTATGTTTTTCTCTCAGCATTGTGGAAATTTATCTCGGATTTTTGTTTTCCTACCACCGACAATCTTAAAAAATTCCAATGAAGTGCCAGTCGCCATCTTCTGTCTTTCTGAATCTAGTTCTGTTATTTTGTTAATTATCTCACTAAAGTATTTTTATTCTTTTTCATGCCAGGTAGCCCCTTGCGTCTTAGTGGCATCATCGCCTTGTTTGGGGTGAAAGGATTAAATAAATTGTCATTTCTTTTTTCAGTTTTCTACGGGAACATTAACTTATTTTTTCTTGTTGCACGCAATTAAATTTATTGTTAACTATTGTAAATAAATTCCATATGTAAATAAATTGTATTTATTGTTTACTAGCATTAGATTTTTTTTTCTTCTGGTTACGTCAAATTGGTTTACAATGGGTGTAAAATATGGTTGAAATAAATCAAATGAGACATAATTTCATCAAATTATATGGCAGAATTCCCAGAAACGATTATCAAAAATAGAATCAAATTTTTCTTTCTTTAACAGTTTTTTTTGTTGTTTTTCTCCTGAAATAGGGTCAAAATATACTTTAATCTAGAAAAAAATCATTGTTTTAGATATATTTTTTTAAGTCATAATTTTATGGACAAATGTTTTCATTTGTCTCTGGATGTTGCACAATTCAAAGGTTATACGATTTTTTAGTCCCGGGTGCAGGATTCTAGAAGTTTTATCATGCACAAAACAAAAGATCGATTTTCGCCAAAGAAAACGATGACTATGGAGATTTTTAAGTTTACATTTCAGAGTCTGTAGTGACTCACCACAAAAAAAAAAAAAATCTTTCTGCCTTTTACAATTTTCAATTTTAAAAATTTCCGATACGCCCTAATATACATTTGTTTAATATTTAAGAGAAATCTTTTTGTAAGCCAATCTAAAAAAAGAAGCATGTTTTTGTATGCAAAACAGCTAGCTCCAATAACTATGTAAAAGTCAGATATCAATTTGATACAGTATCGATATTAAAAATAGGACCCCTTTGTAAAACGATAACAAATGAATACTTCTCAATTCTGACAAATATACCATTAACAGGTGGTTCCACGCTCTTCAGCAAGGTCTGAAGAAGGTTAATTTGCAAAAAGTATTTATCCTCAAACCTTGCCTTAATTTTTATGAACCTTTTTAGCCTTTTATCAACATGTCTGATGCTAACCTCCAGGAGCGCAACTCACTTCTTGGTTTCATGTTTCCCAACTGACATCAAGTGGAATGATTATATTGAATCAATTTCTAAGTCTACTTCTAAAAAAAGTGCTTTCCCTATGTGAACAATGTTACTCACCAGAATCTATCTTGCACAAATATTAATTTTATCATTAGTCCACTCATTGAATATTACAGTCACTTCTGATCTGGTGCTTTTGTTTTATATCTAGAGGTTCTTTACAAAATCCAAAGAAGAATCTGCAATGTTATTCGTCCTGACCTGGCATCTCAGCTTCCGTCACTTTCCCACTGCCTTAATGTAGCTTCTCTGTACCTTTTCTATAAATATTTTGGTAATTGGTCTATGAGCTTTCCTTTTTGATATTTTGAATTCCTGTATTTAAATGCTGTACTAGATTGGCAGCTTGGTCTCATAATTTCCGTGCTGAAATGACTCATTCTGTGGTAATTGTTTCTTCTCTCACATTTCTGGACTGTGGGAATGTCTTCTGGATTTTTGTTTTCTTGTCCTCTATGATTTTAAAAAAATTAAATGCAATGTTGATCATCATCAGTCTTTTTTTTAAGCATTTCACCCCAACCAAAGTGGGAGTGCCACTATCATACAGGGAGTTACAGAGAGTGAAAGTGAGAGAAAAGGCTGGGTATAGAGGGTGGATTGAGGAAAGGATAAAAGATGAATGGGGATTAAAACAACAGAAGATGGCACTTGACATTGCATTTAAATTTTTTAAGATTGTAGTTATCAGGGAAGCAAGTAAATAGAAGAGAGTTCCACTGACAGGAAGTGCAAGAAAAAACTGTTGGAGTAGAAGCGGCGCTTGCATTCAGCTATTTCAACAGTAAAAGGGTGGGACATAGATGTCAATCTAGTAACATACTTAAATTAATGAAGTCGGGACTTTAGGGAAGGTAGCACATCGGAAAAGTCATTATAAAAATATTTGTAGAAAAGAAAGAGGGAAGACACATCCCATTGGAGAGAAAGTGACTGAAGACGAGATGCCAAGTCAGGATTGATTATATTGCAGATCCTTCTCTGGATTTTGTCAAGAACCTCACGATGAACAGCAGGGTCACCAGACCAGATATGGCAACATTATTTAATGTGTGGTGAATGGTAGATTTGTAGATGTGTAAGATAGACTCTGATGTGAAAAGCCTTCTGGCACAACACAGTGAACCAACTTTCCTTGCAGTAGATGCAGCTATTGATACAAAATAGTTGTTCTACCTAAAATCGGTTGAAAATGTTAGGACAAGAAGGCTCAGTGAGATGCTCTCCAGAAGTCGAGCATCAACCATGTTGATGGTAGCCAGGGAAATTTCTCTTTGGTGGTTAAATGAGAGCAGTTAAGTTTTGGAGGCATTAAAATTTACAAGCCATTTCCTGCCTCAGTTAACCACTAATTGGAGATCCTTTTCTCCTGGATTCTTGTTCTTTTATTGTCCTCTTTATTTCTTTCACTTTTAGCAACATTCCAATGGATTTTATCCCCTTGCTTGGGGTGAAATGAGTAAAAAGCAAACGGAAAAAGCTAGAAGAGAGTTCCACAAATGAAAAGTACATGTGAAAAGACTATTAGCATAGAACTTCAAAAATGTATTGCTGGCAATTTTGTTACTTTTTTTTTACAAAAATATATTGCTGGTAATATTTTTGCTATGAAAATGTATTGCTGGCACCTTCACTATAAAAATGTATTTCTACACTACACTTTCATAGAGTTTTGATCCCAGTTTGAGGGGTTCTCTCTTTGCCCATACCTAGGACCCTAACAGGTGCTACCACCATGGTTCAGGTTTAACCTAGGAACACCAGCAATTAAGAGGTGGTTCCATGCTCCTCAAAACCTCATGATCAGAAGCCTTGCTGCTGGGTGTATCTTATCATTCCCAGGAGAAGTAATCCAGTACTGTGCTATATATATATATATATATATATATATATATATATATATATATATATATATATATGGGACACTGATATCAACACCAAGTGCTGACAGTTTATTTCATGCTTGTAATAAGTTAGTATCAGTATGCTTGATAAGTACACTTTCACTTGCAATCTGTGCCATCCCTTTAATTTCCTGTGATTTTCATGTTTTCTACCTTGAAAAGTTCACTTATATAAGGCATACATTGATGAAAGGTTATAAAGGATTTGAAACAGAATATG